GGGCACAGGCAGGAGCAGGGTTGAGGGCACGTGCTGGGGTGGTTGGAAGGAGCGGGGAGAGGTCAATGGGGGGAAAAGGATTCATATGTAATACTTTAAACAATAAAGAATTAAAAAATTAAAAAAACAAACAAAAGGAAGTAGGTCGTGTATGCTTAGAGATAAGTGTGAGAAGGACTTCAAAAAGAGAAGCAAATTTGTGTCTATTAACGTCTAAATTTTGCTAAAAGAAAGGGTGGGTGGGACTGGGAACACTTCAAATGAAGGAGAAAGGCTGGACAAAAGCTTGGTCTGCTGCCCTGCACTAGACCAAATGCTAATTTATAACTGTATGTGAGTTTGCGCTTTGAAGCAATTGGGAATTAATTTTCAAACTGCCTTAGAAGTTTTTATGGGCATTTTTAAACAAACAAAACTAAAATGCCTAATTTCATTTTCATGAAAACTTTTATGGCAAAGATGCCTTTTCTTTTTAGAGTTAAAAGAGAGCTTATTAATGAAGCAGTGGAACAGAAAGAATGCTACTCCACAGACAGAGCAGCCACAAAAATGCTTTATGTGGCCTAAAATTACTCTTTGGAAAGATATAGAGCAGAGAAGTTAGGGAGTCATATCTTTGTTATACCACCTAGATAGCTTTATCATTGAGGATCTCAGAGCCTGACCACCCCCTACCCATGCTATCTATCGGCACAGTGGTAGGGTGGTGCAGACATCCAAGAATGAGCATTTACAAACGAGGAAAGCAAAGCCCAGAGTCATATACCTAGTGTCTTGAAAACTGCCTGATTTGTAGCAAGTATTTGATAATTTCATTGAATAAATGAATAAGTGAACAAATAAAAAAATACTCATCAAAATATGTAGTTTTAAAGAATAGGGGAAAAGATTTTTCTCATGTATTGTCAAAAAAGAAAGAAACCCCAAACCAAATTTTAGTTACCAGTCTAGATACTATAGATACTATACAATAGATATAGTCTACAGCAGTGGTCCTCAAACTACGGCCCATGGGCCACATGCAAATACAAATATTGTATTTGTTCCCATTTTTTTTTTTACTTCAAAATAAGATATGTGCAGTGTGCATAGGAATTTGTTCGTAGTTTTTTTTAAACTATAGTCCGGCCCTCCAACGGTCTGAGGGACAGTGAACTGTCCCTCTATTTAAAAAGTTTGAGGACCCCTGGTCTACAGATACTATAAATGTAGATGTAATAAAAATTAAAGATTTAAATATTTATTTTACCATTCTCCAAAATTTACAAAATTTTAAGGAAACATGTGGTTATATAAGTCCTCTATTTTCCAAGCTGTGTGCAGTGTTTTTCTAAATATACTTTTATCACTTTAGTTTTTAAAAATAGCTTTACTGAGTTATAACCAATACACAATAAACTGCACATATTTAAAGTGTACACGTTTGACACCTGTATATACCTGGAAAACCATAATAAAAATAAAAATAGCAAACATATTTATCACCTCCAAAAGTTTCCTTGTGCCTCTTAGAAATCTCTTCCCTGCCCCCGACCAGGTAATCGTTGATTTGCTTTCTGTAACTCTGGATTATTTTGCACTTTCAGAATTTCACTTAAAAAGATTTTTACAGTATGCAACCTTTTTGTCTGGATCATTTCACTCAGCACAATTACTTTGAGATTCATCAATGTTGTATCCATAGCTCATTCCTTTTCATTGCTGAGTAGTGCTTCATTATGGATATACTGCTAATCCTATCCTGGGTATCTTTCAGCTCAGACATTGCAGTTTTCATCTCTAGGTGTTTGATCTGAATCTTTAAAAAAAAATCTTTGTCCCCATTTAAAATCTGAATATTTGAAATACAATTATAGTAACTTTTAGTGTCCTTCTCTGCTAATTCTAACATCTGCTGTCAGCTCTGAGTCACTTTTGATGAATATTTTTTCATTATTATGAGCCATATGTTGCTGTTTCTTTGCATGCCTGGTAATTTTTTATTGGGTGCCAGGCATTGTCATTCTGACCATGTTGGACACTAGGTATTTTCGTATTCCTATAAATATTGTTAAGCTTTGTTCTGGAATGTAGTTTAGTTACTCAGAAACAACTCGATCCTCTTGTTTTTAAGATTTGTTGGGCTGGACCAGAGCGATGTTTAGTTCAGGGCCAATTGTTTCCCAGTGTAGAGGCAAGGCTATTCTAAGTCCTCTACCCAGTGCCTGGTGAGTGAAGAGGTTTTCTGGTCTGACTGGGAGAAATAGGCACTATTCCATGCCTGGTGTAAGTGCCAGCTACTGTTCCCACTCATCTTTCTGGGTGGTTTTCCCTCAGCTTCAAGTAGTTCTCTCACATGCCTGTGCTGATTAGTACTCTGCTGAATAACGGGGCGAGGGGACCCACTGTACATCTCCAGGGTTCTCTGTCTGCACGTCTCTCGCACTGCTGAAACTCTTTGCTCTGACCTCCAGACACCTTGGTTTCTGAGACCCTCAGCTCCATCTGCTCACTGGGTTTGTTTCCTTTCTCTCAGGGAATTGTTGCATTGCTTGATGTCCAGTATCTTGCAAATTACACACACACACACACACACACACACACACACACACACACGTATATACTTGTTTGTTTCATCTGGGAGGGAAAATCCAGTCTCTCATTCCATTTTTGCCAGGAGTCTCAACCCTTTAACTTTTCATCATAATAATTATCTTGAAGATATTTAAGAAGATTTAAGTGATTTATTCCATTACATTTTTCTGCTGAAGTGTTTCATTATTTTCAGTGAGGGAAACTTTAACTAGAGTTATTTTCTTACCTCCCCTCACACAGTTAAAGCACATCTGTATGGGGCTTCAAAGCGCTTAGGCTACATCACATCAGCCTATGGGAAAAGTGACACAGGTAGATTTCTTTCCATTTTATAGGTGAGGAAGTATCTATTCAGAGATATTATGGCTTTCTCAAGTTACACAGCTAATAAGCAGGAGAACTAGGACATGGCCTGAGGGTAACTGATACTTTCCATCTGAACAGGCTACACATACCGTCACGGTAAGACAAATACAGCCTTTCTGATCAAGAAAGCATTAACACGACCCTTTTGTCTAAAAGCAAGGGGAGAAAAGCAGGTGGTGGTCAGGGCAGGTACAAGGAGACCACAAAGGGACAGTTAGTGTCATCTTCATGCACTGCTTCCCACAACCATATACCGTGGTGGTTTGTTTTTCTTTCAAAATGTCTGTTAGCTATCATCACTAAGGGATAACATCTACTAAGAAAAGTTTTCTTTTTTTCTTGGACTTTTGAGGGATGGGTGGGAACATTGCCATCCTATATAATAAAAGTCCAGCGCCCGAAAGGTGAAACGACCAGAACGACTGCTTGACCAATCGTTATGATGTGCACTGACCACCGGGGGGCAGATGCTCAACGCAGGAGCTGCCCCCTGGTGGTCAGTGTGCTCCCACAGTGGGAGCAGGCGCTAGCAGGCCCAGGGTGAGGCCGAGTCTCTGCACCTATCAAATACCTGAGACAATCCAGATTCTGGTCTGATCTTACCAGCTGATGCAGGCCCTCAAAGGTGTGTTCTAGAAAGAGTACGGGGAGCTGGCATAGGCAGATGGCAAGAGGGGATGTGACTGAGGACCCCCCGGGGAGGCTGTCCTGATGGCTGAGGATCCTGGAGCATGGCTGCCCTGAACATCCCTGATGGTGTCACCGACCTGGCATCCCACCTCAAGGACATTCACTGAGTGGCTTTGGGGTGCAAAGCTCTCAGCCAGGTTCCTCCAGGACACAGAACACGTCTTTACCCAAGACATTACCCCAAAATATCAGCTCAGACTAATTTCCTCATTCAGCAGCTGTTCAGAAAGCAGATCCACAGCCACTCGGCTGACCGGGATGAGTGGTGCTCCCACAGTGGGCCGATCCCCGCAGGCCATGCCCCCACCAGTGCACATTTCGGTGCTCCGGGCCTCTAGTTTTATAAATAAAAGAATATATGCTTATGTTTTAGCCAGGGATCCCTAGAAAACAGAGCCTATGCCAGAACGTACAGGTGTTAGCCTTTATTGGGGTGGTGTGTGCAAGTGAGGCAGAGAAGGAAAGAAAGCAAATGGAAGGTGGTACCTTACTAAGCTGGGTCTCAGCTTCATGAGAAGACAAAGCTGGTCGCTGGGTCTCCATTAAGACTAAGTGGATCTGCTACCCTTCAGACAGTCTGATGGGGGAGAAAGGAGGGGCATTTATATGCTGGCTCATTTCAATTTTCTGTCTTTCACTGGTCCAACTTTTCCCTAACAAGGAGTTAAGTCTTCCCACCACTTCTTGGGTGTATTGCCTAGTCCCTGTGGCACCACTGGGAAGGCAGACCCCGTGCCCTTGGGATCGGCACAGCATCTAGTCTGGAAGTGCTGAAAGGAGCC